GAGGAACCACCTGAGTGGACGGTCCAGGAGTGGCTTGTCGAGAAAGTCACCTCTGAGCTGAGAGCTGAAGGAAAAGGAGGACGCAGACTTAGAAAGAAATGGTGGGGCCGGCCCGGTGGCACAGTGGTTAAGTTTGGCACGCTCTGCTTTGGCAGCCCGGGGTTTTCGGGTTCAGGTCCCAGGGATGGACCTACACGCCACTCATCAAGCCATGCTGTGGCGGTGTCCCACATATAAAATCGAGGAAGATGGGCACAGATGTTAGCTCAGGGCCAATCTTCCTCAGCAAAAAAAAAAAAAAAAAATGGTGGAAGAACATTCTAAGAGGGAACAGCGAAAGCAAAGATCCTAAGACAGAAGCGAGCGTGGCCTGATGGGGGACAGAATGAAGACAGTGTCCCTACAGCCAAGGGAGCAAGGGGACAAGTCAGAAAAGCCGAAATCAGAGAGACGGGCAGAGGCCAGATCACACAGGCTCCTGGAAGTCATGAAAATAATTAAAAATAGCAACAAAAATAATATAATAATCGTTATTATTACTGCTGCTATAAATAAGATGCCATTTTCCAAAACACCGAGCTTTTCTAACTTAAGCAACACCACGCTGCCCCTCTCCTACTGTTTTTCCACCGTTCTCCAATTTGTCATCCCGCTGGAGTGGAAACTGCCAGTTCCATTTCAGTCGATGGCTATAAAAAGAACGCTGCAGTTGGCGGTGCCGATGACCCAACTTGGGGCTAAGATTAGCCCGAGAGGCTGTCACCTTGCCTTAATGTGAGAACCAGCTGGGGTTCCCCTTCCTTGGAAAACTTCAACTGTTCCACTCCACCCCGCCCTGCAGCGCCCTCGCCGGCCAAGCTGTCCATGGAGATGGGAACGGAGATGCGTTTTGGAAAAAAGAAGTTGAGCAACAGGGATTCCCCCTGCAGAAGGCGGTCCCGGACTGGGAGGCGAGTTCCCGGGGTCAGAAGAACAGGACCAGCTCCCTGCGAATGCAGGAAGCCCCCGTCTGTCACAGCCCCCGGAGCCAGACGTCCCACCGGGGAAGCCCACCGCTTCTCTGGGGGTCCAGGGGCTCTCAGATACCCCTGCCCGTCAGCTGGCATCAGTCCAGGAGCTGCATTCACCCAGGATTCTGTAGTTAGATGGGAAAGGGTTTGAAATGGATCCTCTTGACCCCAGAGGCCCACGGCAGAATTCAAGGGTCTATCTCACCCCAAAACGGCTCAAGGCAGTGGCTCAGGGCAGCTGAAGGGTCTTCAGGGAAATTAACCCGGTTCTGAGCGTCTTCAGAGTAGAACAGCGAGCAGTCAAGGCTGTAGACTCTGGAGCCAGGCTGCCGGGGTCACACCGAGCCCTGCCACTTCCCAGCTGTGTGATCTTCACCAAGTTACTTAACCTCTCTGTGCTCAGCCTCTCATCAGTCAAATTGGGAGAATAGGAGCTATGTTGTAAGGCTGTCATGAGGAATCAGATTAGTTAATACCTATAAAGTGCTTAGGAAAAGTGGCCCAGCACAAAGTTTATTATTATTACTTACTCCATGAGATAAAATCTTACTCATCTTTGTCCTGCCACAGCCTAAATATAATGATAATAATAACAGAAGCCAACATTTAATGAGCATCTATGATGTGCCAGGCTCTATGCAAAGAGCCTGATCTGTGTGATCTCACTTAATCTTCTCATCTCTCAAGAGAAGTAAATCATCGGTATTTCACTAAAGAGGAAATGTTGGCTCAGAGAGGAGAAGGGACTTACCCAGGATGACAAAGCTACTAAAGGCAGGTCACGGCTTCGAACTCAGGCCGTCTGACCTTAGGGCTTGTCACTGCCGCAGCGTACGGCCCCCACAAAGTTCGCCCACCCAGGCCGTGCCCGGGGCACTGGGTGACGAATAAACATGGCCCGAGCAATGACAAGGCGGGAGAGACCATAGAAATAATAACGCACATTCAGTGAGCGCTTCCCGTGCACCACGAAACCCGGCTCAGTGACGCTACGGGGGAAGGACTGTTACTATCTCACTCTACAGAGAGGGAAACTGAGGCCTAGGGAGGCGGACACAGGACTGTGCTGGGTACTATCTGCCAGTGAGTCCCTGACCCCCCAGGCTCAGCCGTCTGCCTGCCGCGGGTGCCGGGCCAGATGAGACAATACGTGGGAGGTGGCCAGCAGAGGGCCCGCCCACAGACGGCGAGTGATCAGAGGAAGCTGTTTCCTGCTCTTCTTAGCAACACACAACTTCCCAAAGCTGGAACAGGCTCTGAGTTACCCTCCCTTCAAGGGGTGAACTGGAATTTCTTCTGATACCAAGAAAAGGAAAGCTACAGAGTAAGTGCCATTCATTCATTCAACAAATACTTAACGGATGCCCTTGAGCATCAATTAATTAAGGGCCCTTGATGCCCTTCACAAGGACGTGAGCTCCTTTGACAGTTGAAAGCTGGCTGGCTCCTAACTCCATGAGGAACTTGGTAGGACCCAGCCTCCAAGCCCTCCCTACACAGTTCCATCAGCCCCCCCAAGGAGACTGCCAACTTGGACATGGATAACAAGACATCTATATATTATTAGCATCTTCCCTTCTGCCAGTAAAGTGCTTCAGAGCCATACATTTCTTGTGAAAGTCAGCAGAAGGCCAGCAGGATGGTTTCCCAGTACAGAGGATACATCAAAGCTGGAGAGGCTAATGCTTACTTGGTCATTTACATTTTCATGCCACTCTCCTGCTCAAGAACCCACCATGACTCCCTAGTACCTCACCCATGTGCAGAGCAAACGAAGGCCATGTCTCTCTACCTGACCCTGGGAGACGTCTCTGTTCTGGCCTCTGCCTGCTTATCAAAACATTTTCTGGTGTTAACCAGCCTCTACTCCAGCCACATTGGTTTGCTCTCTGACTCACAAGAGCCTAGCAAATTCTTGCCATAGAGAGCATTTTACTCAACCATTACTGACATGGTACTGCTGGAAGTTTCAATCTGCAGATTTCTGAAAAATAAGCCTCCCCCAAAATATATCAAAATGCTTAAAAACATGCACACCCCTTGAATCCACTACCCCACACGCAGGCCTTAACCCTAGGAAACAACAGTAACAAATAGCATTAGCTAACATATATCGAGCACTTACTATCCACCAAGCATTTTATAAGTACTTAACATGTATGAACTCTTAATCTCATGACTACCCTATGAGATAGGACTGTCATCATCCTCGTTATACAGATGAGGACATTGTTGCCCAGAGAGGTTAAGTAACTTGCCCAAGGTCACACAGCTAGAAAGTAGTGGAGCTGGGTTGTAAACACAGGCACACTGGCCCAAGAGCATGGGTCCCTACCTAGCTGACAAAAGGAATGCAGAGGATGTTCCTCACTGAGTTACTCATAATAGCACAAAGCTGGACCAGCCTAATGTCCAATAAAAGGGGACTGGTTAAATAAAGTGCTGGACAACCATATGATAGAATGCATTGCATGCATTTAGATGTCTGCCTTCCTAACCCCTCACTACCCCACCACAGCCCCGCAAACCCACGGCGACCGACCACGTGCCTTCCAAACCACTCCCACACCCTTCCGTCCATCTCCAGCCCCCATGGCCATGGCCTTACTTAATGCCTTTTTCTTTTTTTTTTTCCTCAATAGCTTCATCAAAGTTCTTTAAAATCAATTCTGCCTTCTACCACACTTTCAAAGTGGGAGAAAGCAGTTTTCATGCCCCAGTCACAGAGCCAGCCCATCCCAATAACACACAGACAGATCTATCCAGTTTGAATGGCAGCCCCCAGAGGAGGTGTGCTTGTGCAGTGCACAATCCCCACAACTGGACAAGCTGCCTGTTATAGCCTCCTAAGGGCGATATACAGACAGACAAACATCAACACCCTTTTGCATTAACCTACTGAAGTCGTGCCCATTAGAGAAAAAAACTAGGTCCAGCACCCATAACTATCAAATAATGGCATGACTTGATATTTTTCCTCCATCAGATCATCTTCTCTTTACCGTGTTCTCTTTGGCAAAACACATTGACAGACAGTGCAGGGAAGAAAGAATACACAAGGCCAATAAACCACAACATTAAACCTCTCACAGCAAAGGAGTGCAAAGTGAAAAGAAGTACCAGGTCAGAAAATATTTTAATTGAAAAACAGGCACTTCTGGGATGGGGTGAAACCATTACTGACATGGTATTGGTGGAAGTTTCAATTTGCAAATTTCTGAAGGGAATTTAGCGATATGTATTTAAAGCCCTTAAAATGACTATCCACAATTCCCCTGCTAGGAATAAACCCGAAATAAACCAAAAACATACACATAGCAATTCATATATAAGAAGACTAATCAAATAACCTTAAAAGTATAAGAAGAGTAATTGCAGCACTATTCACAATAAAAGTACAAGCAGCCAATGTTTATTGGCTTACAATATGTCTGGTGCTATTAAATTACTCAACATATATTAACTCAATTAACCTTCGTGACAACCCTCTGGGGTAAGAACTCTTGTTATTATCATTCTATCCACAAGGAAATGGAGGCACAGAAAGGTTAGGTAATTTGCCTAAGATCACAGAGCAAACAAGTAGCAGAGGCAGGATCTGAACTCAGGATATCCAGGGCCAGAGCATGTGTGCTTCATCACCGTGCTGTTCGGCCTCCTTTCTTGAGAATAGCAAAAGTTGGAAAAGTTTGCTCTCTATGTGAAAAAGTAATTAAAAAAAAAAAAAGAGTTGGGGACGGGGGGACAATCTAACATCCAATGAAACAACCGAGGATCGGCTAACACGCAGTACAGCACGTTCGCACGATGGTGAACTGGGCCGACGTCACAACCACTGGAGGCGTGGGACACATCTCACAGAGAGTAACAAGAACAGAATATAACACCCCACACAGTGGGATCTACCCCCAAATCAGTGCTGTTTGGAAGAAAAGACGGTTGCCTTTGTAAGGCGCCAGTGAGAAGAAAAGAGCTCAGAAGGCCCCTGACCTGTGGTCTTCTCGGTGAACACAACCTTGGACTCGGCCGTGAAGTTCTGTCCCGTGAGGATCATCTGCTGGCCCCCGTAGACCAGGCAGCTGTCGACGTCCTGTCTCTCCACCATGGGCAGCTCGTGGGCGGAGCGCTGGGCTGGGGGCAAGAGAAAAAGAAGTCACTGTCATGACCGGCGCCCAACACTCAAAGGAGGCTTTCTGATCTCACAGCAGCAAGATACCACACGTTCTGCCCGCCTTTGTCACCTGTTGTCATCGCCAACGTGGGACCCCCACCCCTGACACCGGTGACTCTGCAAATGTCGTGTTCTTGTAAAAGTGCCCCTAGTTCTTTGGGCTAATTTTCTTCTAACAACACGTTTCATTTCATGACTCAAAGGACAGACACCTGCTCTCTTTATAGGGAGGAAAGTGTAGGAGAATTTGATATGTTCTTTATTGTTTTATAAAAGGATGGGCAAATGAACTTTTTCATAAGAGATTCCCTTTGCTGGAGCATCCTCTCTCCCGCATTTGACGTCAGCAAACACCTGGCCACTCACACGGGCTACATCTGAGGACCTGGTTCCTGAAGGGTTTAGATGTATTTGCTTTGGAATTAATTCTAAATCCTGAACATGGTCTTCAAGACATCCATGATCTGCCCCCATCACCCCTCTGACTTCATTTTCTAGACTCCTCCTTGCTCACTCTGCTCTGGCCACACTTCTAGAATGTTCTCACTATCTCTCAAACACACTCAGCATACTCCTCTCTTTGAGGTTTGCACTTTCTAGTTCCTTTTTTTGGAAGGTTCTTCCCCAATTATCTCCATGGCTCCCCTTCCTCACTTCTTGCAGGTTTCTACACAGATGTCACCTCCTCAGAGAGGCTTCCTTATCCCCACCCCTCTACCCTCCCCCCTCGTGGTTCAAACAGCGGTACCCAACCCCTGTCCATCTGTCTGTCTGTCTGTCTATCTGTCTCCCTCTCTTTACCCCGCTTTGTGTTTCTCCAAAGAACTTTTCACTTGCAGATGCACTGCAGGGAGCTTTACTGGGTTGTCTGTCTCCTGTCTCTCCCCTCACTAGGACGTAAGCCCCGGGAGAGGGGGCGTTGCTCTGTGTGCTGCTGTACGCCCAGGGCCAGAAATAGCGCCCAGGACTGAGTGAGAGGTGCTTGAGATAGATGGACAGATGGACAGATGGATGCATGGGGACAGATATGGGTGTATGTCAATATATCTTGACACGTTATCAATATCTCTAGATCATCTTTATCCTCACCCATAACTACAATGAATGAAAAATGGAAGAACGGAACAGGCTTAACCACACGATATACTTGAATGCCCACAGCAACCTTCTGAGGAAGGAAGTGTTAAAATTATTCACATTTGTCTGGGAAGAAAACTGAAGCTAAGAGAAGGCAGGTCGCCACTTGGCCACGGGTATGTGGTGAGGCTTAGATCTGAACCCTCCAGAGCTGTATGTCCAGCTCCAGAGCCCACCTCGCAGCCACTGCACCAGCCACCGATTCTCCCCGGTGGGAGAGAGTGAAGACCCTCTGCAGCCGCCGCCCCCCGGGCAGGGGGAGGGACGCCCCAGGCAGCGCGGGAGCCATCTGCGCAGGCCTCGCCTGGCAGCGTGGGCCCAAGAGGCCGGCCCTCCCCTCGGTGAGTCAGCCTGAGCCCCTGGCCTTCCTCCCGGAGCCGAGAACTGGGCGGAGGGCCAGCCCTTTCCGTGCCAGGGGCCTGCGGACCTCCCCATCCGGGAGCAGAGGCAGCAACTGCGAGAGGCCCGAGGGCCAAACCTAACCCTTCCCTCCCGGCCGGCCCGGGCCTCCAGGCAGCCGAGCACCCCGGCGTCTGCCCCAGAGCCGCGTGGAAGCTGGCTCCACCAGGAGCGGCCGTGCACACTGGGCGACGTGTAAGAAGTCTGCTGCGGACCAGCCAGGCGCTCCCAGACACTTCTCCCTGGGTGCAGCCCAGCCACTCGCGACGGTCCCCTGCCGGTTCCCCACCCCCGGCTCTGCCCAGGCGCTCTCTGTGCCCGGGGACCAGCCAGCACTGTTCCAGGGGCTGCCACTTAAGAGTCTACAGCCAAAAGGCCTCGCTGCAGAAGCTGCTAATTTCTCCCACGTGGGCTGGGTTATTATTCCTTTCTTTCAGTAGAGGAGTTTTGTGTGACTTCCTAATTGAGCTGCTACAAATGGAGATTTATTAGCAGTGAAAACAGCAGCCGCATCGCCTGGAGAAGCAGGTTCCGGCTTTTAAGATCTGCCTTTGATGAGTCTGGGGGGCAGCTGGGGGCTTTCGGATGGGTGGGGAGGTGGCAAGAGCCATCCCTCCCATTTTGCAGGTGGAAAGCCTGAGTCATCGCTACTGGGCAAGCTGACCAAGGGCTCACAGCCAGCCAGGCCGGGGACTGGACGTGGCCGTGAGCTCTCGGCGCTGGGCGGGAGGCTGCCCGGATGGCTGCTCTGTGAATCACTGTGCATGGCTGCAAACACAACTCGCCTCTTTCCTGAAGCAAGCTCGTTGCTTCTCCCTTCGAAGCCTCACAGTTTCAAGTAACTAACTGATTCTCCCTTTGCCAAATCTGCACCTCCCGCCCCGTCTCCTTACCTGAAGGAAAACTATCTTTTTCGATGAAAATTTAAGAAAGACAACAACGAGAGGCCAGTCCAGCTTCCCGTAAGCTTTTATCCAGACCCCAGCCCTGCAACTCAAAGTGCGGCTGGGAGCTTGTTAGAAATGCAGAACCTCGGGCCCCACCCAGACCTCCTGAACCCACATCTGCAGCTTAACAAGGAATCCTGGGGAGTCTCACATACTAGCAAGTCTGAGAAGCACTGCTTAGCCCTGGGTGCGTGTCAGAATCAGCTGGAGAGTTTAAAAAACAAAGACACCCAGGCCCGAATTCTAGAGCAGGGTCTCTCAGCCTCAGCACTGCTAACATTTGGGCTGGATCCTTCTTTGCTGTGGGGTGTCCTGTGTATTACAGGATGCTTAGCAGCCTCCCTGGCCTCTACCCACCAGATTCCAGTAGCACCCCTCTCCCTTAGTGTGACAACCAAAATGCCTCTAGACAGAGCTGGATGCACCCCCAGGAAGGAGGCAGCCAAAATCAGCCCTAGCTGAGAACCACTCTTCTAGATATTCTGACTTCAACGGTCAGAGGACCATTGAAGGGGAGGACCCCAGCATAGATGTTTTTTTTTAAAACAATCCTTAACAATTCCAACAGACCACACCAGGTCTGACCTGCCATACCGTCACGACAGGATAAGGCAGGACCCTGGGAGCCGCAGGAGAATTCCCCGTCTACTACTGCTTGGGCTCTGGGGTCAGAAAGCCCTGGTTTCAAGTCCTGCCTCTGCCGCCTCCCTGCTGTGTAACCCTGGGGAAGTCACTTCACCTCTCTGAGTCACACAAGCCTCCTCTGTAAAACCCTAACAGTAGCTGCCCTCATAGGTCAGCTGCAAGCAGTACAAGAGATACTGTAGACAAACATGGGGACATGGTCAGTGTGCATTTGGTAAAACATCGAATGTCAACAACCCAAATGTCCAGCAATGGATGAATAAAGAGAATGTGGTATATCCACACAATGGAATATTATTCAGCCACAAAAAAGAATGAACTACTGACACATGCTACAACACGGATGAACTTTGAAAACATTATGCTAAGTGAAAGGAGCGAGACACAAAAGGCCACATATTGTGTGATCCCATTTATACGACATGTGCAGGACAGGCAATTCCGCAGAGACAGACTGGTGGGTGCCAGGGTCTGGGGAGTGACTGCTGAGGGGGATAGGCTTCTTTTTGGGCTGGTGAAAAAATTCTGGAACTAGATAGTGGTGGTGGTTGCACAACATTGCCAATGTACTTAATGCCACTGAACTGTACACTTCAAAATGGTTAAAACGGTAAATTTTATGTTATGCATATTTTACCACAATTAAAAAATATATATCTAAGACAAAAACACTTAGCCGGTGCCTAGCACACGGTAACCACTCAACAAACTGGTCTTTACTTTTGTTAACTTTCAAAATGCCACTCTTGCTTGCTTGCTTCGTCATTTTCAAAATGTTTTCTCATTTGTGATCTTCTTAAAGCTTTAAATTACAGCCCTGCTGGATAATCAAGGAAGACACTATCACTGCCGTTTTACAGATGGAAAACCAGATGCTCAGAGCTCAGCTTCAGTGAGGGGCAGCCCCTGCCTGGGCGAGGGCTGTTGTGTGGACCAACCTCAGGTCCGGCCCAAGTCTGCCACAAGGTGATCCTCGTACGGGGCTTCCCAGCTCTAAACCTCATTTTTCCCATCTGAAAAATGGGGCTGTTAACAGACTCATCTCACGGGTTATAATGAGAATTAAAGGTGAGAATTCAGAAAAAGTGTGTTTGGCTCAGTAAGTATCGGCCAGCAAGGTTAACAACACTAAAAGCTGTGGTTTCTCGAGCAGTTTCCAGGTGCTGGGCACCGGCTACGTGCTGTGGTCTTACCTTAGATATTTCACCAAATATATGCTGACCGTGTCCCCGTGTTTACACACATTACTGCTCTCGTCACTGTTGTTCTTGGTGGATCCTGAACCATAACCCAGGTCTCTTGACCCCGATCGCCAGCGTTTCTCAAAGTGAGGTTCCCAGGCCACCTGCAGCCCAACTACCCAGTTGTGAGCAGAGCTTAACACAAATGCAGAGGCCCAGGCCACACCCCAGACCCACTGCCCCCACGTCTCCTAGACAGAGGCTGGACGTGTGTATTTTACCAATCTTTCCAGGTGACCTGTTACACATATTTGTTTGAGAGTCAAGTTCCACACTTACGTGGCCACCTGAGGACAAGGGGACCTCCTCCAGGGGCGGCCCCGGCATCCTCAGAGAGCCTGGGGGCAAAGCACACGAATCCAATTAGCCTCTGAAAGAGGAACTGAGGCGAGTCAAGCAGCAAGCAAAATTACCCTCCTGGGGTCCACTTCCCTCTCTCTCTGATGCAACAACCTCCAACACCCGTGGCTGCTAATTGGGGTGACACCGTCCGGGACCTAGGGGAGGGCTCTCCGGAAGCCCCTGGGCCTCCCAGGCCTGCGCCACCACCCCTACCTGCCCCCATGGACTCCCATTCAGCTTCTCAACCAT